ACGTTTAGGCAGCACGTCTTAGCTAGCTAGAATGAATGGCAACAATCAACCTATCAAATCTGAAATCCTGTAGTGCAGTGTAGATTCCAGCAAGCTAGGTGACACAAATGGTTGTTTCGGTGGGCGCCAGGGCCAGGCTTAAGCAAAGAACAGTCGAAATTCAGGACTAGGTTCTGTGGGATCAGGTGCAAGAAAGTGAGGACCGTGATTCAGTTGTTTGTTGACACCACCCACAAAGGCATAATGACCCATTCCAACAAAGGGGAGAATCCCTTCGATCCAAATATCCTTTTGATCCAGCAGGAAGGCAGCATCCAGTAGTCTCTGCCGTTTCGATACAGGGGTAGAGGGTAAGCTACGTCTTTTCCAACACTTCTAGTGTGGTAACGGCACCAATAGGATACTACTAGAATGGAATAACTAGAATACTGTTACTTAGAGTAGATATCTATCTTGTGTTTTGATTTCTTCATCTCCAATACTGTCTCCAATACGTCTCGGTCCAATAATAGGCTCATGCCACTTTGTCAATTGTTGTGTTTCCTCTGTCAGACCTCTAGACACCTCGGATCTCGTCGTCATCGCTATCCGTTCCACTGTCACTGCTGCTACCACTGCCACTGCTACTATCTGTTGAGAGTGTCACTTCATTCTCGTCTTCATAGATCAACTCTTCGTTGGTGCCACCACCATCATCCTCATCAAAGCTCCGCTTCTAAATTGGTTGCCCTTGGCCAAAGACTGTAGGTGGTGACTCCTTGCTTCGCTTCTTCCGAACGGCTGGAGCCGGCGCTGGAGCCGGCACTGGAGCTGGCACTGGAGATGCAACTGGAGTAAAGACAGTCTCAACTCGTGGTAGTGGCTTTGGCTTGGCTGAAGGTTTGGCTGCAGCCTGCTTGGGTGAAGGTTTGACCGGAGTAAAGATGGCCGAGGCAACCGGAGTAAAGTTCGGAGGAGGTTTCAAGTTCGTACCGGCAACTGGAAAGTTGAACGAAGGGGCAGAAGCAGGAACAGGAGCAGCTGCCTGCTGCTGCATCTATTGCTGCATCTGAGCTCGCTCTCGGTCATACTGAGCCTGAAGTGCGGCCTGCTGCTGTTGCATCTGCTGTTGCATCTGCTGTTGCATCTGCTGCTGCATTTGCTGCTGCATGTTGGAGGTTGTATTACAGACACCTCAATACAAATTATTCGTTTATCCCAATCTAGTTTATAGGGGATATCTATATCTATTCTCTAGTTACATACATGGGGAGTTTAACTGATCTATATGGTCACCCCCTTCACTATATCCTTTGAAGTTGAATCAATCCCAGAAAACATGGAGAAAGATCACTTCTTGGAAATAGCTTAACAGTAAAACAGTATTTTACCTTTACTAAGCTAGAGTGTTACTAGCAACCATCACTATTTCCAAGAAGATCATCTCGTCTTCGAGATATCGATATTGGCTTCGCCCATGGGAATCTATCGACTATAGAGCCCATGCTATAAAGGTAAACAACCAGTTCAACAAACGGTTCAGGCAAAAAGGGCTCTGGCCTCACTGAGAGAGCTATCCCAACAGCCTAGCAGAAAATGCATCATCACGGAAATTGTGCCTCAAACACTATCCTATGGAACGAGCAGAGATCAAGGATCCAGCAGCCGTACCGTACGAACGCAAGAGTGGCGACAAAAGTTGCCACGAACGCCAAGCTCACAGGAGTGAGCAGGCTGAAGATTTGTGCTGCGGAAACAGCCATCGTACAGGAAACTGATACGAAAAACAACTACAAGAGTGGCGCCACAGGCTGCCACGGAGCTTGCAAGCAAGCTACTAAGATGACTAGCTAGCTAGGAGTCCAACAAGCAACGTCGACGCTACCGGAGAGATGAATCAACCGGAGCCAAGTACAGAGCGCAGCGAGGCTACTACTAGTACTACGGAGACAGATCAGCCGTACGAAGCCAACAGGAGTGACACGACGAGTGTCAACTGGAAGAGCACAACACCAGGAGTGTTGGCACGGAAGAGGAACTAGATAACAAGTTCCAACAAGAAGAAGAATTACCACAGAGGTACTTCCGTGGGAGTGTTCCTATCCTCAACAAGAGAGCCATCGAAATAGGCTACTAGAGGAGAGGTGCAAACCTCCAGCGGCACGAAACCAGCCAAATTAAATTGCCAGGCCGGTTACTCGACAACGACAGGTCCCACGGCAGGACTGTCATACAACAAGGTGTCCTTTGAGCAACAGAGGCCTGAAGAGTGCAAGCCCTCGAACGCAACAGGAACGGAGTTGCATCCATCGGCAACAGGCTGGATCAGAGCGAATTTGCGAATTTTGCAAAATCACTACTGTCAACAAGAACAACAAGAGTTCGCTACTAGCTACCAGCAACACGTCATCGTGTTGCTACTGATAGCGGCTTCCGGAGTGCCGTCCGCTGAAGTGCCAACACCACGAACAGCAAGTAGCAGAACCGAACGACGATCGCTACTACTGCTACCGCTTCAACAGTCGACAAGAACAACAAGAGTTCGCTAGCTACTGACGAACCACAGTGTCGGCACGCAACAGTATCAGCTTCCCACGAGCGAACCGACCGAGCGATCGATGCTGCTACCACTACGGCGACAACAAGAGGAAGCAGACAGCCAACGAACTATCGAATGACGGCACTGCTACAACAAGGAACAAGAAGAATAACGACTGCTACTGCTAGCAAGCCGCTACCGCTACTACGATTGACAGCATTAGCAGCAACATGATCGACAGATCCAGTGTGTCCATCGGCAATAGCAACAACAAGAGTGTCGGCAGTGCCAACACGAAGAAAAAGGCAATCTTTGTTTTTTGTGAGGAATCTGACTGCAAACGGCACAGAACTCCAAAGAACAAGCCAGAGTTCAGCGACGAACACAAGCCGATGAACGTCACACCGGAAAAGGTATCTTCCGTGATATCTTTCCAGGAGTGTACGGCACCAGAAGATCTCATGATCGCTCCGTATCCGTCGTGGGCAACAAGAGCACGTCCAGTGCTAGCTACCGGTACAGGAATTACCGGAGCATGCACATTGTGCAGATAGCTAGCTAGCCAACCGGCACAAGAGCTACTGGAACAGTGCATGCTATTATAGGAAGCACAGGAGTGCCTCCACCATCATTGAATATTTTCTTTGGAGTGTGTATTGAGTTTTACTCAGCACCTCCTACCCCTTTCATGGAGTGTGTATTGTGGCATCCCAGCCACGGCACCTCCTACTACCTTTTATGGAATGTGTATTGTGCAACTAATACACAGCACTTCCTCCCTGATTACAGGCAAACCTGAGGCAACAACAGCCTCCAGGCAGGTAACAACAGATACCATTACAAGTCTATGCCCTTGCTATTTGATCACAGCAAGTGCACAGGAGTGTGGTGGTACCCAAAATCCAAAACCTACAATCCTACAAACAAAATCATCATAACATCAGCCTTTATAGGCAATGCCGCAACCACCAACGGCATCAATGGCTACATCAACAGCCAGCATCAATGGCAACAACAGCCAACAACGGTATCTACCAATTGCCACAACTACACGGCCAACAACGGTATCTACCGCTACCAATCCGATTACAACAAAATCGACCAAACCAAATGAGAATTGAATCTACAAGACGGCAACTGCTATGACAGCAGAACAACAGTGAGTGTTGAACCGAGTAGCTACAAGCAACTCAAGAGTTCACAAGACAAGGAACAAAGCCACAGGATGGCTGGAGCAGACAGAGTTTGACCCACAAGCGGGAACCTGATCAAAAGAAACAACAAGAGGGTGCACACCTCAGCTCCACTGCAACTACTGTACAGAGATTGCAACCAACCTTAGTCTCACACCAACAGAAGTACATGAGTACAACAAATCAAGCCTACAGAAGATACAACTACGAACAACTACTACCGTCCACACTGAGAAGATGGTGAACGTCCTTCTGAACGGACAAAAGGCTTGGGGTGGAGGTAGTAAGGGACTACAGTTCTATACCATGGCATGGAGCATGACATTCAACCAGATGATGTACCACACCACCATGCATGAGATCAGCAAAGACCTGGACACGATGCCTACTTCAAACCTAATACGCATCCCACACTCCCGGAGCAACACATGCACGATTCAGCACTGAATGCAGCGATGACCACGCAGGAGCATGGTACTTCTCCGACGACAGAGTGTCCTCCCCAGAGGCAGTACCCGCCATGTGTGTCCTTGCCGCTTTCATGACCTCAGAGACATATTTTACCTCTGAGAATGTACTGCAACTCGTCGCAGCCTTGACCTTTACAGAGTTTCAAGAATGGCAACAAGAAGTCCGCCGAGATTGGATTGAATTGGTCAAAGAAAAGGCCAAGTCCTATGAGGCGGGCGTATTTGAATAACAGCTAGAACCGGACCCGTTGGTCCAGGTGCAAAAACCAGTGGGTCCACGGGGACAGTGGAGAAAAACACCAGCACACTACACCGATGCTTCACCTCCCGAGGGCCCCACCCCAGCAACAACCAAATACCACCACCCACCCATCCACCCCAACCCCACCCACCCCACCACCCCACCGACGCAGAAACAGAATCAACCACCGCGGGCAACAAACTCTTGCATTCGACCCCAATACAAACCAACTGAGGATCTCCACCAACCAATCACCCCAACAAACAAACACACCACTCCAGTCACCAACACAACCAACGTCGAGAGCTTCGGAGACAAAGCAACAGCAAAAGGCACCACGACACATCAGAATCCTTTTCCAGAACATTGACAACCTCCCCAAACATGAATGGCAAGACAAGAGCAACGACCTTGCAGAAGCTGCGAAACTACTCGAACCAGACGTTATGGGATGCGTCGAAGTTGGCCTCTACCCACCACAACAATCCCAACAGGACAGCTGTACAACCGCTTAAGGAAGAAACTCAGAGCATCCGCACCAGCTACCTACAACTCCACAGAAACACATAGACTGCATT